ATGGGTTACTCATGAGCTCCGAAAAATGAGTTGCTCAAACATCCATGTCACAGGGTGGAAGGTCATATCTCTCAGGCCCTTCCATGCTGACCTTGTCAACCCAGCTGACTTCATATTCATAACTCTTTGCACCTTCTGGCCAAAAGGAGAGCTTGCCCACCTTTGCAGATTTCAGCCAAAGCGAGCTACCCCTTTTCAAGACCTGTGGCGTTAACTGTCACACTTTTGGAGAGCTCAAGCATCTGCTGTTTCATTGAATGTGGTAACAACCACATTCTACAAGCCTGGATAAAGATCAATATCATTCTCCCATGACTTGTAACTAGAAGACAATATGATAGTTTCCCAAAACAGGCGGACACCAATATAGACCCCCATATATTCTAGTGTTTATTATGGTGACCCCCCATGAAGGTACCCCGAATTTCGGGAAACCCTAAACCCGATATATGTATATATATACATATATCTATATCTCTTTCTCTCGATATACACCCTATACAACCCCTTTAAAGGTACCCCTGGTTTTGGGAACACCCCATCTACTTCAAAGGCTGTTGGTAATTCCATTACATCCTAAGGGTTGCTACGGCCCCCACATTTGCGATACCTTAGGTCAATCCCCCACCCAATCAAGGAGGGACTATTGTAGGTATATTAAAGCCCCATTAACCATCTACCGAGGGAATTTAGCTCACCTAAAGCCAAAAAAACAGCATCCCATGACTATCATATGACTCTTATACTCTTGTAGGGTTCTTGTTGCAGGGGTTGGGGTTCCCACAATTCTGTTCTTAGCGTCGGCTGACTTCGTGAGCAAGTCCTTCTATGTCTCGAAAGCAGGGATCCTTTTGCTATACATTTGGTCCTGCGGTATATTCCACTTTATTTCTACAAGGATTAAAAAAGCATCAGTCTATTCTGAAATATGAAGCTCTGTCAAAACGGGTGTACTCTGGGAAATATAAGGACTTAAGAGAGGATTACCCCCCGAAGGTTGACGTGGAGGAGATATGATAGTTTCCCATTTTTATTGGCGTCTCAAACAAAAACCGTTGGTATTTGCCACGTTTACTGCAACCTCACACAAAGACGAGTATCGCATGTGAGCCACATATCCAACCCTCTTGTCTACCTGTAAGCCATATTCATGTACATAGAGGCTGTAGGCAGCTGGGATTCCATAAGGGCAATTTGCTAAACCTACAACACCAAACTCCCTAAATCCCGCAAACTCTACGCCCAAACCCTCATGCCGTGAGGGTAGCTTTGCTAAATTCCCGACCCTAAACAGCAAACCCTAAACCCTACTCCGCGGGGATTCAAACATTTGCCCAGCAGCAGTGAAGAGCACAGGGAGATGAAAAACACCATGAACAGGGTGCCAACAGTCCTCCAACGGTTGTAGGACTAAGTGTACGCGGTTGAACGCACTTCTTACAAATAGGTGCCCCTGATTCTTTCAGTGGCTACATGCATGTAGGGTTTGTGGACACTTCTACTTTGAAGGGTACCTTGGGCGCTGAATGCTGAAACACTGAAATCCTCATTCAGACCTGCAAAAGTTTTGCCTCATGGTCCCGAGATTCTCGATATTGGAGCTTTTCAAAGACCAGTGCGACATTTTTCGTAAGGAGGACACTCAGAATCGCCCTTGAATCAAAACATATACTTACGGTCCCTACTTGAAGTTCATGGGTCTTTTTAATGACTGACGTAGCTGGGTTTTTATAGCTATTCCTAATTGGGGAAACCTACATAGGTCCAGTTAGCGGGTTTGTAGGGAGGCCAGTTATACGTAGATACCAAGTCCTACGTATGAATCTTCAAGTAGAGGTACAACATTGTGAGAAACCATCAAACATCCATGAGGTGCCCAAATCTTCTTAGGGGTTCTCCTAACCACCAACCTGCACACCCCCCCCATTAGGTTTCCCCTTCATCAGCCTTCAGTTCTCTTAAGTAAGCCTAATTCACCGGAACCTTGAGGCGGTAGTATAGAAGGGGGCGGTGGTCCCACAAGCCACAAGGAGCCAGAGGCTACTTGAAGTGCTGTGACCAACGCAGCCTGGCTTTCTGTGGCGAAGTGGAACCCTAGGATGCTTCGGATGTCGGCCTCCTATTAACTTGAGCATGTTCTCGCGCGCGCGCTGTGACAAGGTCTTCGGCAGCAGAGCTGGCGAGGAAGTGCAGCTTGCACTTCTGAATGCTGAAACTTGGAGCAGTTGCCCCATACAGACGATGCAAGTCGCGCTGCCCCACGGTATCTGATCTGAAAGGGATGCTGCCAAAATCGATTTGTAACCTTTACATGTCACCAGGAAAACTCCAACCTGTGGGGCTAAAAGTCAGAAACTAAAATCGTAGCGCAGCTCCGGGGATTCAATACTAAGCCCTATACTTTAAAGCCCTAGCGCTTGGAACTTTCAACTAGGGCCGAAGGGTGTAGGCCTCGGAGATTCAGCCTGGTGAAGTCGGATGTGTGTGGGTTTAGGGTTTAGGGTGCGCTGCGCTGAAAGATCTAGTTCTTGGGGGCCTGAATGCTAAGGTGACGCGAGGTCGGGACATTAAACCCTAGCAAGGGTTTAGGGTTTAGAGGGTCTAAACCCGAGAACCTGCAATCTTAAATCCTAGTCTTCTATACACCCCTACATAATCCCTAGGTCTCTGCATCACTCCTCGCAATCCTTAAGCTGTTGATCCTTTTTGTTATGCCACACCAAAACACCCTGTGATGCCGCCTATATGGGCTGGACATGGGTTCCTTATTTGGGAATCTATCAGGGACTATATTAAACTACAAGAGGGACCCCTTAACCGTAAACCCTGAATAGTAGCTCATATCATCACGAGCCTAAACCCAAAATCCTCGACTAGGATTTGGGCCGTTGGGCTTAGGGGTTTAGGGTTTGGGGGTTTAGGGTTTGAGGGTTTAGGGTTTAGGCTTAACCCCTTGAAATCCTGAACCCCCAAAACTCGAAAATCTCGAGTCCTGCGGATCCTAACCCCACACCCCCAATCCCCAACCCTCAACTGAAAACCCGGAAATCCGTGGACCCTAAGCCATTCACACTCGAAAACCTTTAAAGCCGGCATAATGGGTTGCTGTTTCCAAAGCTCATGCAAGTTAGCATAATAGAGGGAACCCGTTTAGATTCCTATGTATATTCATGTCTGTAGATGATTGTACCTGAATTTGTGATCTTTTGAATCAATAGTACTATCCGTTTCGCTGCCATGATCTTAAAATAACCCCCATACAGCCTGACTTCACAATCCCTGTATATAGTCCCCCTTAAGTAGATAGAATATGGCTTGGGGTATACTATAAGAAGATCTCCATATACCCCATATTCTATCTACTTAAGGAAAACTATAACCCTAAACCCTGAATAGTAGTTTCCATTTTCTTTCCATTATCCCTGTATAATCCCTATATAACCCCTTTAAAGGGACCCGTATTCTATCTACTTAAGGGGGACTATAGAACCTTAAGCCCTAAACCCTAAACCCTAAACCCTAAAACCCTAAACCCTAAACCCCTAAACCCCTAAACCTAAACCCCTAAACCCCAAAGCAGCGCCGTCCACTCCTGGCCAGGAGACTGAGCTGAAGGCCCTTGGCTCGGCGGAAGGCCAGGTAGGTGAAGTGCACCTTACTTGGGTTTTAGGGTTTAGGGTTTTAGGGTTGGGGTTTAGGGTTTAGGGTGTGGAGTTTCAGAGGTTTGGGTTTGGGGGTGTTTAGGCGGTTTAAGGCATAAGGTTTAGGGTTTACTTGGATGATCTTTCGACTGCTATCCCAAAAAGCATGTGGTTTAGGGTACAGGGCTTACGGTTTAGTAGTTGAAGGCCAGTCCGAGAAAGGTTGCTATCGCTCGTACTACCGCGGATGGAGAAAATCTTGCACCACTTCTTCTGACGCCAGTAATGGTAGTTAGCATACTTCGGGGATACCAGGTGGCGTAGGTATTGTTACTACTACACCTACTGTTCATTTTCTGAAGTCTCCTTAAACCTATAATAGAAAAACCTATTTTCAATATTTCCTTATGGTTACACTATAATGAAAATTAGGAATAATTCCTAAGGACAGTACATTATTACTATGGCTATTGCTGCTACTACGGTATTCGTATTACAACTGCTACCACTTTTGGTCTTGGCCTTCGGGCTCGGGGCCTTGGTACTGCAGGCCTAGATTAAATCGAATGGGGTTTCGGGGTGCCTTATCCTATAGCTTGGGTACTGCCCCACCCAGCAACAGTCTATATCAGGGGTCCTATTAAGGGCTATATATAACCATATTCTAAATATTTTCCAACTGTTAGTGAGGGGGGGCAGTACCCAACCTATAGCCAGACGAGGACTGTGAAACAAAAGAATTCCAAATAATTCAGACTTTTACATTAGGTTCACAGATGCATCGCGCGTGCAAGTGTCAAAGCGCCTGTGCCATATGCAAAGGCCAGTGACCAAACTGTACATGATGTGCGGTAAGCAGTGCAGGTTTAGCGCGTAGGGATTTGAACGATGCCAGAGACGGGCTAAGCCCCCCACCATTATCTGGCATCCTCAAATCCAAAGAGGAAATTGACGAGAAATCAGTACACATGCGCTCACGCATGATTGCGAGCACTTTGCATGACAGCTCTACCAAAGTGAGCCAGAGATGTCCTTTCTATACAAGAAGCATGCGCTGACTTACTTTAAGTGCCCCTGCACCCAAGCAGGACCCGAGACAGAGCAGAAAGCAGTAACCTCCATCTGGCCACCATACTGGGGATTATGTGAGGCATAGTCAACCATCCATAGGCAGAACTTCACGGCCCGGAGCTTGTTGGACAGGGGCCCTGCCAGCTTCCCAGGGCAGGGGGGGGCAAGCCCCAGAACTCTGTCCTGGAGCCTTCACTCAAAAGTCTCGCTCCTCCTTCGCAGGGCGGCACGCGCCCGCCACGTCCGCAGAGTTACGCACAACTCCTGCAGGAGCGCGGTCTGGGTGACCCCCCAGTACGCGCTGCCACTGCCCGAGCAATGTGCTTGAGGACAACTGCTGCGCCTTTGTCCCACGTGCCAGTAGACTCTGCTACCATGGGCACAAAGACGATGCCCTGGGCTTCGCACTGCGCAGTCTGGAGGTGGGCCTCTACGCGCCGCAGCGGCAGCCCCAGTTGCCCTGCCTGCAATGGCCAAAGTCTCCTGCCGCTGAGGCGCCGTGATGGCGAAGTCAAGGGCAGCGGGAGACCCGCGCGCTACGACCATGCATGGGCAAGGTCCCGCACTGCGTTGTGGCACTGCGTGCGCTCTCCCCCAGCAACGCACCTAGCAGAGTGGTGGCCCTGGCAATCGAGAACCCCATCACAGCGGGGGCACCATGTGTCGGCTGTGGCTTCAGGAATGCCCAGGCGGATGCGCAGCTCGGCCGTGAAGATGGCTGGCTCCATCCTGGTTTTGCCACTGGGCAAAGCCGTCAAATTTGGGCTCCAGCCCCAGCCTCTGAGAAAAGCATGGTCAGTGACCCTAAACCCTAAACCCCTACACCCTAAACCCTAGACCCAAAGATCCTTTCCTGCTAACACGTCGGCTGCAAAGCCACAGCATTGCAGGCCCGGGCGCGACACGTGGGCACCGAGGCCCTAGAAACTGCGAGGACTCCAAAGGGTTGCGTGATGTATTGGCAGTTACAAAATCCATATATGCAATAGATGCTAGAAAGCCTGCATGGCACGAAGTACTTTAGACCTTGCGTTTTGTATAGCAAGGTCATGCAAGATGTTTACTATGAACCTTAGAGCGTCTTGCTTGTCAGGTAGCCCCAGACGTTGATACAACACTTGATAATTCGCCTTTTTCAGGCCAACACCCACACATTGCATAGCAATTCCCTCACAACAAGCTCTGCCATGAACAACCACAGAGGGCTGGAGATGACTGGGGCTACATACCCCGTACATACGGTGGATACTCAAAATCCTGGCTGACCTGAAATACCTCATACTTTTGGAATTCTGCTGTGATGGGATACTAATGTCATGCAGAAGTCTTAATATCAACAGGTACTACCGAATTTTGACCTGAGCTTGCTCCTCACTCCCTGAGCACGCAAGAAAGCTTGCGCAACTTATAATCCCCCAAGCTGTGCATGTCGGTAGGTCGAAAGGAGGGTCTCAAGATTTCCTCCAGCCCCAGCCCCAATAAAAGAAAAGAAAATTGGAAAATAATGACAGGACCAATACTAGTAGTAAGAATACGAGTAATACTAGTTAATACTAATGGTGAGAATAAGTATGATAATATCTGTTACAAACCGTTATGCCGAAAGCAGGACTTCATCTAGGCCCTCTCGAAGTCTACACACGCCACAATCTCTGTAGCAAAGTGAGCAGCATTCCCTGAAGATTATGTTTACTGGGTGTTAGAAGGGAAAAGGGAAATACATCATTTTGGGGATTCTATAGCCTTATTCCCTACTCACCACCAGTAAATATCTTCACACGTCAGAGCACAGCTCACTACAACCTGGGAGGTTACAGGTACGAATGAGGCGTCCTGTTATCCTAAACCCTAAAGGCCCTGAGACTTCCCGCTAACCTTTGCAGACCCCTCTTGCTGGAAACTCCAACTTGTTGTTAGGCATCTACATGAAGCGACACTGCTTTTCCTTGCAACCTTGCTGCTTTCGTTCAAGTTGTCGCAGCATCTACAACAACAAGTAATGCACTCAACAAGGTTCTACGCCGCAAGTAGGGATCTTGCAACTTTAGCCTCCAATCCCTATGAACCACCTGTAGTGGGGGCACTACAAATCTCCAATAGAGAATAACAGTACGTCCTCCGTTTGCCTGTAAGATCTAATGAGAGGAAGGTCAGCTTACATGGTGCAGCAGGCACCAACACTGCTCTGAACCATACCCCTGCACTAAGCCCGACAAAAAACCGCTTGGGCTAGGTACCATTGCTGCCACGGCAAAGAAGACCAGAACAAGGAGCGTTCCTGAAGGGCTACAGGGCTTACAGGTTCTTTGGCCTGAGAATTTATTGGAATTGTGATAATGTCTGATCAGCATGCGAGCCATTGTGTAAGCTCCTAGTATCCCCCTTAATAATCCCTTCAATACTCCCCTAGAAAAACCCCTATATAACCCCCCTTGGAGGAGTTGAGACTATAGCTCATGTTGACTAGACGGGAGCCTGAACAGCAAAACGGTGCATACTCAGAGATTGCTTTCGTAGCCCAAATTTCCCTAAATTGTCCCAAAAACCGAACCTCCAATTGCAACCCTTAGTTTCCCAAATGTAGCAATGGGATCACATGTTGGGGGTCCTGTTTTGTTTGGATCCTTTAGGGAGTTTGGGAAAGCTATCAATGCATTGGGAACTCAGAAAATGATGTTGGCTCACATCCTTGACATGGACACTCCCTGAAGAATCCCAAAATGGAGTCCCCCCTAAAGGATCTCTTTACTACCTTGGGGAAGTGGGGGATTCTTGGGAGCTTTGATTATATCACTTTTTAAATTTCTGGGGAGCAGTAGCTCCAAGGTATTGTTTGGGGATTCTTGGGATCTAGTAACCCCGAATTTATTTCCACCTAATAAGGGGTATCCCATTATGGTATACTATAAGCCAGAAGCCTTACTATAAGATATACAGAGTGATAAGATGTTACGGGGGGTTTTGTGTTAGAGGCAGTTGGTTGTAAAGGACCATAAAGACCCCTTCAGATTAGAGAAGCTCTTGGAGACTGTCAATAAGAAATAGTCCCTTGAATATATGGTCCCTGGCCTAAAGTTCGGGTGCATTCCTTACAGGTTCCCGCAAACCCCCAAGCCCCCCATATATTGGCTTGTAGGTCCCCCCTCGCCTAACTGTAGTCCGCAGCTCATATCATGGTACCATATTGGGGTGTGATTATGAAGGGGGAGGGGATTAGAATTATCAAGTATTTCAAGATTCTTCAGGCCGTTGTCTTGTTTAAGGTTTGAGGGCTGTCCCAAAGCACACCTTACAGCTTGGGCATCATGGTGCTGTAATACCCTAAACGTCGCGTTCTCTGCTAAATTCTCAAGATCTGCACATATAAGTGCTGCATTCCGAAGGGCAAACCGATTCCGCATTCGGCATATTAAGGGCCTGATAAAAGCTAAGCGCCCATCCTACAACTAGTACACAATCCCCCAAAAGGACCCACACAATTCCTAGTAATCCGCAACCCATATCCCTTGGGCTCTTCGGGGTCCCATTTCGAGAATCTCCCTTCGTGTAAAGAGGCACGGCATGAAGTTACGCCTGCTTTAAAAGTGATACTGCTAAAAGGAGCTAAGACCTCGTGAACATGGAAGAGGCAAGGATTCAGTGTCTTGGGATACTCTTACCAGGACCCCTTGCTTTGAGGAACTTCTACTTGCTCTGTTGGATGTTGTAGATCGAACGCAGCATCTCCCAAAATGGAATCCGCAAAGGGATGATACTCACTACTTTTTGACCTTGTTACTGGGCGAGAGTTTTTTGTGGGGTGGGCGAGTCCTTGAGGGGGAGGGGGGAAAATATTCCTTACATAGCAAGTTAACAGGACACACATCTGTGTAGCCATCGTAGAAGACCTAAAGCAAGCCTATGTTCCTCCAACCCTCGGTACTTGCCCCTGCCAAGCACAACGCAACAACATCCAGGTCTCACCCAATAAGGTATGTTTCGAAACTGAGGGGCTCCAAGTAAATCCAAAGCTCGGCGACCGCCGTTACGAGGTCCCCGAAATGGACCCTTGATTTTGGAAACTCCCACATGGCGATGCTTTACAAGAAAAAACTTCCTTCCATCTACCAAAGTGATGGGAGCATGATCGTGGAGACTCAGGGGTACCTACGCGCGCTGCTATATGAAGGCTACTCTCCCCAGAACTAACATGGAAACTTGAAAAGGCCGCTCTTTAGGCTACAACTTTTTGATAAAGAATATATGGAATTTGGGGAAGGCAGCTTCCGCTATACCTCAAATCATAGGACCTCTTACCCTACTTATCATGATCATGCACCTTGAGGCTTTCTTTTCAAACAAGAAGCGTGTGGTGAACTTCATCACGGGGTCCATGGGTGCCACGCAGCTGATAGAGATCATATCCATATCAAATGCCATCACCTGCTCGAAGAGTTGAAGGATGTGGGGCTTCGAAACTTCAAGACTTGGGGCCTTTCCGGGGTGTGGCATCTAGGCTTTGAGCGCACAATCCGTATGATTCCAACGTTCCTGTTGCGGTTTGAAATTGGGATTCTGATTTTTCTGGGCAATAGATGCAGAATCTAAATTCAATGTAGCAGCTTTGTCGGGCTTTACCATAGAGATGAATGCGCTGCAAACATGGCTTCTCGCGTTTGTGTAAGGGCCCCCATCCCTTGCTAACAGACCAGCCCTGTAGAGTACCAGGATCGAATATCAGAAACACCCAGTGCTAGTTGAGAGGAGAAGGGGCAAAAGTGCTGATGAATGTGTTGAAGCCAGAAAGTGACGCCTTACCCTCCTGCATTATGTTGCATTCCTCTGGGCTCAGAAAAGATGCATGACCTTGTACCCAGGGGCCTTGCACCCCAGATGCATACGCCCACTCAATTTAGCTGCCAATGTTAAACATCATTGTTTGGCACTGAAATGAGGTGGGTGAATTCCTGGCTGTTTCCAAGAATTGCCCTGTTGCACTCATATATGGTAACATTTCACAAGTGGCTCCGCAGCCTTTGCCACGCAAGCTAAATTACCTGACCGCATTCATCGATGAAATTCGTATGCAATGTTTAACTAATCAACCCGAGGGATTCAGCCATCCTCTGCCTGCACACAACTTGCCCGCCACCAAATCGTCAGGAAAAATGCAAATATGATTGCTCTGCTTATTTGCTACAGGCTTGGAATGGCTAGAAAATCTCCATGGTCAAGAGTTGCATGGCTTCGCGCCTCCAAGGCCACCAGGATGCTCGAGAAAGGCTCACCCCAGTCGATCTTGAACTGCTGGATCACGGTCAGCTGCCTCAAGTCATGTTGCATAACTCACACAGGCTCTAGGGTTTCTAGGCTAAAGTGGGGCAGAAATTGTGTTGTCTTGCCCTGCCCAAAATGAGTGCCTGCTCTGCTTTTTCTGGCTCACTCCTTGTGCAGGCCAGCGTTCGCGGAATCATACATTCTTTGAACAACATGAACGCGTGTTTAGAGAAGGGACGCGCGTTCAGGGAAGAAACGATGCAAGCTAACCTTGGGATCATGTTGCAACTAAGCCTGAAGCATGAGCCCAAAAACGCCAGATCAAATCAAATGGATGCCACTTCTGACTTGCACACTGCAAGCAGCATGTTGGTGGTCTGCATGGTCAATAGCCAAGACATGCTAGCTGATGATCATCACGGAAACCATGACGGACTGATGTGACAACAACACAAGATTGAGAAACGTGCTCTGGACAATTGGGTCGGAGGTTGTACTGTGCATCTCCAACCGATGTGCAGAGGATCCTCCGCACGTTTAGGGTTCAAGTAATGTAAACTTGCTAATTGTGCACGTGCGGCACGTGCAAATGGTTCTTTCCTTTCCATGTATCATGCGGGAAGCATAAAGCAAAACGTCAGAATTGATGCCTCTAGGATCACGCGAGCAGATGACGCGCACTTCAGCACGTTGCACGAGGAACGCCATGCCGCATGTTGGCATGTTGGCAAGCAAGTGGCACCCCTTGGGGCCTTGCACCCGCATGATGTTGTTGTCGTGACACTTTTGTTCGTAAAAATACTCATAATTCGGCTTTCGCAACCAGCAAGCGCATCACTGTTGACGGATATGCGAAAATTGCTGCCCAGACCTACATTTCAATCGCAAGCGCGTCACGTGCGATCAGAAAACATTCTTACGAACGAAGCTGTGCGTACATAGCACACAAGCAGAAAATGCAATTAGCATCTTGCTGAGCTGGTCGTATCGCAGGCATGCCTTACACGAGCCGAGCAAAACAAAAAACTTTCCAAAAACATTCTTGCGGCATCCGACTGCAGCATCTTGATAGAAGACCCCCTCCTGTTCTTCCAACGCTAAATATGGTGTTTCTGATGGTGCTGCTGCGAGCGGCGGGTGTTCTGCTCACCTAAGGACATGTCAAAATCTCCGTTGTTGGGATAGATCGCGGTAGTTCTTGATGCACATTTCTTGATCAGTCAGGACTTCCTAGTCCACAGGTACCAGATATTGTGGCATCACATACACAAGGTGTGCCCCGTCCGCAACTGCTGTGTGCCCATCTCGTTGAGCGGTCTGCCCGTGGAGGGTTTCCCAAAATTAGGGGTACCTTTTTGGGGGTCCCCATATTCAGGATGATAGTATTTGGGGGTTCCCCTATTTAGGGAAACTACCATTTACTAGCGGGCACCCAGACCGAAGTCGAAGAGCACCAAGAGTAAAAAATGAGCTTGTTCACTCCAGACACTTTGACCAAGAGCTCAGACTGAAGTAGCAACTAGAAAACACCATCAGTAAAGGTTGCTTTGTAAGGCCCGACACCTAGGATGCGTGTTGTCTAGTAGAAAGCATATAGAATACTCGAAGACGCAGGGACTCAAGCATCAATGGAAATAAACATGCGCAAATCTGTTGGACTTCAAACAACTAAACTCCCATCATCACACGATTTCAAGCTGCATGAACATTTTTGTGAACTGTGCCTTAAATATCAACCAGTTTGTAATGCTACAATCAACAATAACGTCCCAACCGCAACAATGACTTGTCGAAGAATTATAAAGCCACCAGAGATGTGTCCCTTGTCGCCGTGGTAACAGTTGCATACCCAAATCATCTGTAGTCTAAACTCCTAGTATCTCCCTTAACAACCTCCTTTTAAAGAGTTTAGACCATAAACCCTATATAACCCCCTTTGAGGAGTTTAGACCCTAAAGCCCATATAATCCACCTGAAGGAGCTTAGACTAGGGCTCAAATGGTACCCCAATGGTATTTCCCCCAAATAGGGAGACCCCAATAATGTACACACCCCAACTACAATGATCCTCATTATGGGGACCCCCTAAAAAAGTACCACTTACTTGGGAACCTATACTCCGTCCCCCTTAATGTCCCCCATAATCGCGTTTAACCCTGAACCTTAAATCCTACTTTCACTATCCCAGAAAACCCTAAACCCCAGGGAGCTCAAATGAGACATGAGATCTCGTCGGACCCTGCCTTCAGTCATCCCCACACCCACTAAACAGTATTTTGTCAGAGTATATGGGGGTTTCCCAAAGGTAGGGTACCTGTAAAGGGGGATGTAGGGTGTATGTAAGTTTTATGGGGTTTAGGGTTTCCCGAAAATTAGTGGTACTTTCTTGGTGGGTCCACAAATAAGGATTTAGTATTTTTGGGTCTATATTGGGGTCTCCGTGTTTAAGAAAACTACCAAAGGAGGCTCAGTTACGATTAACATCATGCCTTGCGATGAGCATTACTGGGTGAAGACTAACCCTCCTTTAAGGACTATAGTTCACATTGACAATTTCTCCACTGCCTAATTCTTGAATGCAGCCACTTTTCTGCACGATGGTCACCATCTGACCCATGCCAAGGGCTGCAACCAGCAATGATCCTGCTTGGGTTCAGGGTTTATGGGTTTAGGGGTTCAGGGTTTCGGAGTTTAGGGTGTAGGGTGGTTCCCCTGCAAAATTTCAAGATTGCCCAATCGGGATCTCAAAGCTATCTAAAGAATCCCAAAACCCATGGGTACAACCTCAAGGGTTCAACCACCAAATGCCTTGCTGTTGAGGGCCCTTGCATAGAAACCTCGAGCTTTCACAAGTTCGGAGTTTCAAAGCCAACGAGTTCATAGCACACCTACTCATCCAGCATGGTAAAGAGTTCGTTGAGTAATCAGACTACTTAGTAGAACAAGTATTGAATATGAGCCGTGGTCAAACTGTGGGTTCTTTCTGTCATATGGCCGGCAGGGATTCGGGGTATAGACGTGGGATCTCCATTTGGCTCATTCGAGGGATCATGTTGCGGATGCTGCTGATGGCAGCCAAAAGTGGTACTTATCACAGAAATGAGCACTGGAACTTCTTGCCAGAGGCGGGATCAGCATGTCAATTCGTGCTTCAGGGCCGGGTGGTGAAGTCACTAAGGGCTCAAACTTTTTTGGGAGCAGCCGTGGCGGACACCGGAAGGGGCTTCTGCTTGCTGGTTGTTAGTAGGGAATGGACGCTCGGATCCCTGTAGTAGCCCCTGTATGGTGCCCAACAAAATTATGGTTGGCGATTTGGTACTTTCCCAAAATAGGGGAACCCCAATATAGATTCCAAAGTACTATAGTCCTTATTATGGGGACCCCCCAAAAGGGTACCCCTAATGTTAGGAAACCCCCCATTTCTTGTCCATTTGCTAAGCCCAACCCCCAAATCTTTGCCGAGGCTGGTCCAGCCTCAACTCACCACTGCGGTGACCTCCTTTCTGAGCTCCCACCCTTCCCGCACCCAGACTCATTTATAATAATGTATAATGTATTGCCACTTTCTGTTCCATTCCCTCATTCCCCGTCAACTCTTCCATGGAAAGCCCCCTGAATCCCTTAATAGTAAAAAGAGCAGCAGCAGCGGCGGCGGCGGCAGCAGCAGCAGCGGCGGCGGCACTAGTGGTAGTGTTGATGGTGGTAGTAGAAGCTGTAGCTTTTTCTTGTAGTCTCTTCATGCTGAGCTAGTCCCTGGTTGAATTCATGTTAAGCATGCTGGACCGCACCTAACTCTGATGGATACTCCTGCGCTGGGTTTAGGGTCTACGGTTTGCGGGTTAAGGAGTTTAGCGGTTCAGGGCTCCAGTTCCTCATATCACCCTGACCCTTCTTACCCCGCGTGACCCTAACGCGCAAGCATACGCAGGCCTAAACTGAGATGGAACCCCCAAAACCCTGCGCAGGCTACCGTCCTTCTCAAAAGTGGCCATGCGCAAAGCAGATGCCCCTGAACTCTTAACCCTAATCCTCTGCATATAGCCGCAAAAGTCCAAGATTCGATTCTTCTGCAAGGGACTCTGCAAAGGGAACCCCCACTTCTAGGAACCCCAAAACTGGGTCCCAAGAGACCGTGGACAGAAGAAAGTATGGAATAAAGGGAAATATTATGTAGAGACGATGTGGGGGCTATGCTCCCTTTTTCACTACAAACCCCCAGTAAGCTCAATATCCCTAAGTACTGCCAAACCCTTATGGGGCTGTATAGGGAAGTACACGATTCCCTCCATCCACAGTATTTTGAACCTAAGCCAACTCGAAACCCAAACCCTAACCGTGGAAGGTTGCAAAAAAGGTCGCTGAGCGGAAGACCCAATTTCAATACAGTGGCAAGCCTAGTTTCCACAAATCATGGGCTAATTCACATTTCACTGAACGAGTAGCTCTTTTTGGTGGTTAAACCCAGTAAGCTTCTATTCCTTCTATACAATACTATACCCAAAAGGTGGATATAATCTTAGTCTATGGTGGGTACCATTATACCCCCAAACAAAATACTACTCACTTGTAGCTGGAACTAGGGGCCAAGAAGGAAGCCTGCAACTTAACTCACAACTTTGATTAGCCTGCTTATGGCCACGCATACAACTACCCATGATCCTCCAAGTACATTAACCCGAAATGGTGGGACATTGGGGGAACGCAAGCCTTAACCATACTTACTGGTGCTTAAAGGAGAGTGGAGGAGTGGATCCCAACAATAATCGCTATAATACCCATATATGCCCCCATAATGGTACCTATATTCACTCCCCCACTCCCCCCCAAGCACCAGTACGCATAGGCTGCTAGCTTCACAGTCAGCACTTGAGGCTACCCTTCCGCCCCCATAGGCTTCCGGGTGCTTAGTAGGGAATACAAGTTCTTTAACTATATAGGGACTAAGGCGTAACACCAGTCCTCAACCCCCTCAAAAGCCTTCAAGCAAAACCCGCCACAAACTGCAAGCTAAGCCACAAACCTAAACCCACAATACTAAACCCTAGCACA